GGGCGCACAGGATCCGTCCAATGCACAGCAGTGCAGTGCAGCACACAATGGGAAACAGGCGCCCAGGGGGGGGGGAAAAGGGGTTGCAGGCCTGGATCAGCGGTCACCCGCCACCCCTTCGGAAATTTGTTGTAGCATGAATTGGTAGAGCACGTCAGTGGCCTTGAGTAGTCATGGGTTCGATTCCCCACAGCATCCATTAGATCCCCCCCGCAGCATCCTGCGCCACACTTCGGGTTCACCAGCGGAGATGGGTGGTTTTCCCCCCTGGCTGGTGGTGGTAGGTTGCTTGTCACCTTGCTTGTGGCACGTCAGTGGYCTTSAGKWGTCGTGGGTTCGATTCCCCACAGCATCCATTAGATCCCCCCCGCAGCATCCTGCGCCACACTTTGGGTTCACCAGCGGAGATGGGTGGTTTTCCCCCCTGGCTGGTGGTGGTAGGTTGCTTGTCACCTTGCTTGTGGCCTTCCATCCGGCGCCAGGGGTTGGGATCCGGGGTACTGCTCCCCCCACAGAGCAGGTTAGGCAAAGACGCAATACTGGACTACTGGGAAGACATAACTAGAAAAGAATATAGTGTAGTTCAAAAAAAGGAAAAAAGAAAAAAAGACAGAGAACAGGCGTTGGGAGAGTAATGCTGCCACCTAATGGTCAAGACTGATGTCCCAGAGACCTATTTGACGCTCTTTCTGATGCTCAATGGGACCATAAGTACGAAAATTCTGCACTGCTGTACTTCAACAGGATCTCTTCCTTAGGTGGTACACTCTTCTACATCTTCTAAACACAGCAACACAAAAGAAAAAAAAAAAAGAAATTGTTGCTGGTGTTGCGTGAGGGAATGTTCCGCACGTTGAGCACTGCCGCTCACTGAAGCCAGAGTGTACTGGAGTGAGTCGGCCTCCAGTCTTTTGTGCTGGCTGGAGAGGCCGCGCCAACTACCTGGACAAAAAATAAAACAAAAAACCGAAATCGAGGCTGGGGTGGCGCACGGGAAGGTTCCACGCATCAAGCAATGCCGCATGCTTTGTGCCGGCTGGAGAGGCCAATGTGCCTCTACCCAGGCTGCGCCCAGCACCTGTACCCTGCGCCCTGGGCCTTTCCACACGGTATGCAGATACCTACAAGCGTTTTCGGACACTACTAGACTACTAGTCGACTGTAGCTAGGAATTTACCTGCATTGATGAGACTAATAGACCTTTTTTTTTTTTTTTTTTTTTTTTTGTGAGACTAATAGACCTAAGGAGGATAGTCAGAGAATTTGCAGATAGTCACAGGGCTTGCAGATAAGTTTTTGAAGTTGGTAGATAGGCTTACCTTACTTGTTTGGTTTGGCTGATTGTACTAGGTTCTAGTAAATTTAGCATGATAGCCAAAACTTTTAGCGCTGTTTGATGAGCCCGCGTAGTATTAGGTAGTTGGTTAGGCAAAGGCTGACCAAGCCGATGATGCTTAGCTGGTCTTTTCGGATGATCAGCCACACTGAGACTGAGACACGGCCCAGACTCCTACGGGAGGCAGCAGTGGAGAATCTTGGACAATGGGCGAAAGCCTGATCCAGCAATATCGCGTGAGTGAAGAAGGGGATTTATCTTATAAAGCTCTTTCATCGGTAGTGAGATTATGACAAAACCCGAAGAAGAAGCCCCGGCTAACTCCGTGCCAGCAGCCGTGGTAAGACGGGGGGGGCAAGTGTTATTCGGAATGACTAGACGTAAAGGGCATATAGGCGGCGGTGAATTAGGCGCGAAGCGGTGAAAGTCGCCACCTCAACTGCTGCTGGAATGCCTTCAAAACCATGTGCTTGGTGTGGTTTTCACCACTCGGCCGTTGCTTGCAAACGATTTTGAGTGCTCCGTCCTTGTCGGTGCTTGGTACCGGTACCGGTTTCAAACTGGTAGGAAGCAGCATAAGGGACTTGTTTTTCAGTTTGATTTTTTCCGTTCGATTTTTGCACTTTGATTGTTGTAAGATTTGAGCCAGGGACCTACCGTACAGTCGTACACAAGTAGGTTGTCCAAAGGAACGGCGGCGGGAATCGATGACAATGAGTACAAAAGCAATGATCATTGCATGATGATCGGCATTGTCTTAGGCATCTTTCCGGGACCTACGTTACAGGCGGCAGTTCCGGGATGCCGGCAGTGTGACGGAGGCGGGCGTAGTGGAGGAGGGATGTGCGGTGTGGCGCGCGCAAGGATTTTGTGGTGGGAGAAACCCCCTGAGGACGATCACCTGGCGGTGATCGAAACCGGTCGGGGAGCCGCTGTTCTGGTTTGTTGTTGTGTTACATCCAAAACCTTTCGATATTTTGTGCTTTTGACTACAATCTCGGTGTCACGACGCGTGGTGTGTATGCACTGATGTGTGTGACAAATGCTGAGGTTCTGACTATCTTCAATGTTTCTTACCTTTCCGAATCTGCAAGAGGCCAAGCTGGAAGATGCCTGGGCCTCAGTTAAAGACAACAAAGAAAAAAAAGACGCCTGGGCCTCAGTACCTGTGACTAACCCCGAGGTCAGGCCCTACGTTTACTTCAAGGGTAATACAGGTGCTGCGTGCAGCAACCGCCTGCAGGGCCCCCTTTCTGCTATGGGGCCCCTATCCGCCTATACTAGGGCCAAGGCTCATTTTTACAGGCCCACCTTCACTTAGGGCAGGCAGGGCCTTTTCCAGCTTAGTTGCTTGTTGAAGCAAGGCCAAGCTGGATCCTCCCACTCTCTCCCCCTCCGTTCTAACGTCTTGAGAGAAACCCTAAATCCACTTGCTGCTTCCCTTTCAAACTTCGCTTGTAGTGGGAACGGGAAACAATTTGAGAGGCTGTCTTCAGTTCTTCTTTCTTTCTTTGTTTTTTTTTTTTGTTTTTTTTTCTTGGGCAAAACAATTGTGGCAGCCTGCTATTGGAGGTGATACAAGCATCCTCCAATGGCAAGTGGGACGCTGCGGACCCGGTTTCCAGCAGGTGATGCTCCCCACCAGTAGATTGGATCCATCTATAAATTGAGAGGCTGTCTTCATCAGCTCCTCTCTCCTAATACCACCAGTCTTCCTTTGGATCTGTGTAATGTTTGAACAGACATACTGACGACCTGCATCATCTGCAGATAACGAGGTCTCTCTCTGCCAGCTGGCTTGGGAACAGGCATCACTTGGTCAATGTCCACATAGCCATCCATTTTTTTGGGGGGGGGCAGCATCAATCTCCGGGAAGGAAACACGTCAGTTGCAGAGAAGTACTGAGGGTAGGAGCTTTCAAATTCGAGGCGTGGAAGACGGGGTAGGTCCGGAAGTGAGGTGGAACGTGCATGACGAAGGAATCGACATCAAGCACACATCCTGCAATAATGTCTAATGCATGCCATGCCCCGAAGTACGGAGGGTGGGGGTGGGGCGATGGATCTGGACACAAGATCCGGACATCCTGCCCCAGAGCATCAGCGCACTGCGGCCTGGATGTCCGGATTGTAACCATGCAGCATAAAACAAAAAGGTTCGGCAGGGAAATGCCAGTTCGAAAGCAGCGGTGGTTTCACAAAGACCTCTCCAACTTCAAACTCAGACACAAAAGTTTCCCTCATCTTGAAGTCCACCCAACAATGCACGGACCCTGACCGCACTTCGCAAGCTTGAATCCTGTTCAATTCACAAACATCTGCAGCTCAACCTCCGACCAAAACCATGCGGCCGACAAACAACATCAGATGTTTTCGACACAATCTCAAGAAGGTATGCATCCAATACGCGTATGTCGTCGAGCGAACAAACAAAACAGGAAACGTAAGTAATTCCGTCCGCACACTGTTCCTCACTAAGTCGATCCAGAAGTTATCAAAAAGATGAACTTAGTATCAAGTTCACAAGTTTACAAACACAAGGAGAGGAGATGGTGTGATATTCTCTCCAACTGCAGCCTCTACATTAGCAGTGAGATAATGATGTGGGCTTTTCGATTTCCCCCCCTCAGAAGATAGGCTGCAGGTGTGGGTAACATTTCGACCATGTGTAGCCCAGTACCAGGCAACCACAACTGGATTCAAGAGGTGAAAGGGGGGCTAGTGCGGACAAGAAGGCGAAGTCGAGCTTGCCACGTGGGAAAACAAGTTCCTCACTTCAAGAAGCAAACAACAGAAAGGGGGTCCCATCTTGGGGAAACCTTGGAGTAGTACGGACAAGGTCTGCAGGGTTATGGGTGGAGAAGAGGTGGTTGTTCAAGCCAGGCTGTGCATTTGTCGAACACACACACACACACACACACACACACACACACACACACACACACACACACACACACACA